AAAAAAAAAAAAAAAAAAAAAAATCGAAAATGAAAAAAATAGAATGTTTGTCGCTGTAGAATCGTATATATCGTGCCATAAGGAAATTTTATTTCGTGCAGGAATACAGATTGATTGTAAAGGGGAAAGTGTTAAATTTGTGGATAAAATTGATGGAGATAAACAAACAAACGGATCGCTTTACTTTCGATCTTCTTTTATTTAAATTTTTCTTCCACTTTCACTTCGGCATATTTTTGCGATCTATTTAATCAAACAGACGCTGAGGGAAACGTGGAATTTCATGTTAAATAACGCTCAAGGAGCTTTCGAGAATTTTCAAGTAACTTTGCGGTCGATGATACCTGTAAGAAGGAAACTTCCTCCGCATGGTTCTTGTAAATTACTAGAGCATATAATAATTATCTACATTGCTCGAGCCACGCAGATACGTATATACACACGTTGTATATGCATACTTCGACCCTGAACTAATGTCATGATCAAAAATGGAGGCGGAAGCTCTCCAAAGGTAATATCCGCGAAACCGGCGAATAGAATGGAACATCCTACTTAACTCACTAAGGAAACATCGATTCCTTTCGATTTCATTCATGTGCTTTGGATGTTCGCTCAGTAGAAGTCAAAATTATATATCTGTCCCTCCTATTATTATTATTATTCTTATAATGTCCGTTTTCATATTTTACCACTTCCATTTTTTTTTTTTTTTTAAGCTTGCACGTGCGAAAATTTGTTTTCTACACAACAAACTTAGCTAGCTGAGCTAGAATTTTATTGAAGCACCAAACCAATTTTTCCAGGTGTCATACTAGGACAACGCCAATTATATAAATAATATTGTAAATTTCCATCGCCTATACCAAACTTTAACGGTTCTAAAAATTCTTTGTTGTCCATTAAATCTAATGCGTTAAACACATCAAAATCGAGCTGAAAACAATATGTAAGTGGTATTATCTTCTCGTACAATGAAAAATACAAATCGTGAAACTTACATTACGAGCCGATATCAATGCATCCGTCATAAGATCGATCCAAGGAGTCGCCGTGGATACATTGTAAAAACTATACGCAGCCCTAAGCGTCTTGTGTGTTTGATGATGCATTATGGAGCTCGGTAACGTATAATAACTAACCATATCGGTGATTTTACCCTCATTTTCTACTACAAAACTATTAATAATTCCGTATTGCGGAAGGAACCAATGCCGAAACTCCTCGATCGAGAAGATTGGGGCCAAATCGAATTTTTCCAAATACTAAAATATAAACGAATATATTTTCTCCTTCTTCTTTCCTTTCTTCTAATTAAAATATTAATTACTATATAGCAATTACTATATATATATATTCTTGCAAAAATAATTACTTCGGTTAATATTTTATGAGCTTGAGGTATATCTGCTTCAACCAATTTTCTAAATCCTGGTACTTTTGTATTTTCTGGCAGTTTGAATAATTTTAAAGTTCTCTGCATAGTCATATTGCGAGATAAGTGCGAAAACTTTACTTCGATTAATTTCTTTGGATTGAGAGAACGATGCCAATACCTTTGGAAAACGAATTTATATATAAAACGATATAATAATAAATACAAGTACGAGTTAATAATAAAAAAACGATATTAATTCTAATATTAATAATATTGATACGTACCTACAAGTAGCTATTGGTTTTGGCAGTACAACACCAGCAGTATACACAGCCTGAAATATACCTTGAAGGTTAACTCTCCTAGTTATTTCACGTATTAATACGGGCGCAACTCGTTTTGACCTCAGTTTTTTGTGTACGCACAAGAAATTTATTTCCACCATCTTCTGAGTGCTAATATAAAAAATTTTTTTTATACTAACTAACAAGAAATGGATTAAAAATAATTCGATATTTACTGATTATAAACACGCAGAGTAGCTGGAATAGCAGAAATGAAACCAACTAAACGTCTAGTTTTAGTCACCCGTACACCACAATGCCATTCTTTGCACCATCCAGGAGATTGCAATGCCCTAAAAAATATATTTCATTAAAAGATTTATTTATAAAATCAATTATACATTTTATAAATTGATATTTCAATTACCATTTTAAAAAATTTGGAGGATAATCAAATCTAAACATAGCATCATCATCTTCCACATAATTTTCAGATAATAAAGTATACAATTCACATAGAACTAATGGATCATCAAGATTTAACGTATCCCATTGAAAATCTGCTGGTAATGAGTAAGGTTCTGCCCTGATAGATGTTTTGTCGGATTCAATAGGTTCATTTTTAATTATTTTTTCATCTATAAAAATTTTATACAATATAATTTTATCAAGATATTCTTTTACCATCGATGAATAAAGAAATGTTAAATAAAATGTTGCATTATTCACCCATTTTTGGTACTGGCTGTGTACTCCAAAATTGATAAGGCTTTTGCATAGCCTCTTCTTGAGTTTTGGCCGGTTTTTGTTGTATGTTAAAAACTTCCATCGCCATTTGTATATCTTTTATTGAAATATTACACGTGCTATGCATTTCATGTTCGTCTCTGTGACCAACGTGGTTGTGATTTTCACCAGTGGTATGCGCCATCTTGTTCTTCTTTTTGCGATGTCTCTTTTTTGAACTAAATTACAAATTATTTTCGTCTCATATATTAATGATAAAAAGAAACAATTTACTCACATATAAAATATAAACATAGAATTAATAAGGCAAAAACAAAGGAAGAGGATGTCGATAAAAATTTAAATAAACATTATAGATTTTCTAGAATAATTCTTAAGTAATAAAAATTAATGATTAATGGTTACACATAAAATTATTCTTTGCGATATTAAACGTCAAAAATATTACATATATGTATGTTCTTGAATTAGTAGGTTACTCTGACTCATAAACATAATTCTAAAACGTCAATCCAAGGTAAAGTCGGTACAATAGTATAATGCAAGGAACTTTCTATTATTTTGAATTAATAATAAAATACAGTTCATGTCACACACATGGACACAAACACAATTATATAACGGATGACAAGAAATAACTTTAAATTGTGCCTATGGTATTGCCGGTCATCCATAACGCGCATTTACAACAAATCAAATCAAGAATTTATTAATCACACCAATAGAAATTACACGAGCAGCACTCCTTAAGAATCGGTTGAACGTTCGCTCACCTTGCAGATTTTCCATCTTTTTCATGAATTTCATCCTTCTTAGCCTCTCGTTCCACAACTTGACTCTTTTCCTCCATTTTAATATAGATTTTGATAATGCGCATGTGCTGAATATAGTGGCTCCGTCTGGTAGAACTAGGTGGAGAACAAATAGGTCACATGACGTACGCCATGTTCGTTTCTTCGAAAAGTCGAGTCCGCGTTTATCGGTTTAAATAAATTGAATTTTTTTAGTGAAAAGTCGCAAAGTGTTAGAAAAATTGTTCAAAATAGTTTTTATATGATCCAGAGAGTGTATACCGTATAAAATTTTCGTTCGATAACGTGTATTGTGCGCGTTTTCGTGAAAAATATTCATCGGATTTCTGAACGCTGACCGCGCGTTAGTTCGAAATAAATTTTTTCGATTATTCATCATAATTTTCATTGAAATTGGAAAATATCGTATTATAAAAGTGTGATAGTAAAATATTAGCGAGGATGAAGCAAAAGAAAGTTTCAGAAATCGTATTCAATCGATTTTCCATGAAAAAGAAAACGTGGGAAAATTGGATGACGCGGGATCTTCAAACAGCGAAAAAAAGCAATATGGCGTTGGCAATTGCGCGGCAAATTTGGCAGAATAGACGTGGTTCATTGGCATCGTTCAGTCTACATCTTCGCATAACGTGAGTGAAAAATCTATAATCTTTTTAATAATATTATACATATTGCGTCAAATTGCGTTAAATTGATAATATTAATATTATCTTTTCACAAATGAGTAAAAGTAAAAAAATTTCTCGAGTTAAATATATCAAATTTTTTATTATCGTATCAATTTGATATCAAGCAAAGAAATAAGTTTAGAAAATAATAATATTAAAACGAGGAGATTAAGAAATTTGGATTAAAATTATTTTTCCTCTCGATAATAATTCAAACTTTGAATACGAGATATAATTAAATTTAAGGATCGTAGAATAAGATTATTCCGTCGAGTGCCAGTCTGACAATTATAGTCTTCTTTATTTCATTACCAACAGTATTCTTACATCTTCATGCCGAAACAATGTATAATTTCTATATCATAATATATATTCATTTATTCATTTATATATTTATTTATATAATTGTTAATAATTGTAATAGCAGTAAATAGTCTGTAGTAGGCGAGTTTGTAGGTATGTAAACAGCTTTTAGGTACGCGTAATTCCAGTTTATCGATAATTCAAATCCCGCGTGCGTTCCGCTCGCGTAATTCATGATTTGCATATCTATTTGTCAACTGCGCACGGGAGGGAACTCCTCCATTTGTCGGTGTGCCGCGATATTCCAACTTTTTTCCCTAAGAAACTCGATATAACCACGAAAACTGAATTCCGTTTGACGATCGAAACTATAAAAATCGAATGGAAATTGATTGATTTTTGGATGAACCTAATCACGCTCGCGTGATTTCCATCCCGTGGATAAATTCTAACTAACAGATTGCCTCCAAGATGAATAACCAAGGAATAGTATGTAATAATAATAGCAACTCGCGCGATAATAAATATTGATAATTACGGTTTTATCAACTTTGGAACGTATCATTAAGGAGTATCAAATAAGATAACCGGAAATAATGTTACCGCACAGAAGTAATTAACAACTTCTTTTCGCCTGGAATGCATAATTACGAATTTATTTGAACTTGCAACTGTTAATTAAAGAACTCGATTAATTAAGAAGTTTCGCGTAAGCTGGATCAACATGTTTTTACTCGTTCGAAATAAGAAATAAGAAAGTTTAATCATAGGACTGGTTAAATATTCGACTCGGGGATCGATTGCCAGATAAATGAAGTCTAACCGTCGAGCGCGAACACAAAAAAACGGTAGGAAAGGAACGATAGAAAACGATTCGTTACTTTATTTGTCGAATGAAACGCATGGTCGTGAATTGTACGGGGAATTCACAGCTTCACTGAGCAAGTGCCTTGAGGACAACGATCGATCGTTGTTCCACCAGGTACTGAAATTCAGAATGAATCAGCAGGGAACAGCGAACGTTTCATTTCTCTTTCGCGTCTCTCTCTCTCTCTCTCTCTCTCTCTCTCTCTCTCTCTCCCTTTCCCTCTTCCACCCCTCCTCGAGAGGAGCCGAAATGAAATTCCGCGTGTCGAACCAGGGCCTTTAAAACGCGAAAACAATACGGACTTTTCCACTTTTATGTATCGGTATTCACTGTTCGATCGAAAATGAAATGCCCGTGTGCGTTAAAATTAGTTGCATGGAAGGTATTTGATTTTCTTCGTTTCTCTCGTTTGGCACTGCAACTCTGTAGAAAGTATATTATAACACGATGAAAGTTCATCGATCGTTTAATCCATGAACTCGTATTCACGTCTTAATTTCTTCCGCGCGCGCGTGTGTGTATATATATATATATATATATATGTATATCTTTCGTTCCATTTTTAATTCATTTATTTATTATTATTTTTTCTTTTTTTCCTTTTCTTTTCTTTTCTTTTCTTTTCTTTTTTTTTTTTCTTCTTCGTTTTCTAACAAGGCATAGCAACTACGCTACTACGAGAAGAGAACAATTCCTTTTTCCATCACTGAGAGTCTTTGAATCGGCCCTCGGTTATACTATACATACTATTCAGACAGCGCAGGATTTGTCGGAAGCTTGATCCTGAGCGACAAACCCTCCTCCCCTTCGTTAGGGGATCGGAACTCGGATCGGTTAACGAAGGAAATAGAAGACGAACAGACTCCTAATTTCACTATCTTACGCCGTAAGAATACTCGATCGTTCGTCGTCGATATATAATATCGTTTCCCGCAATTTATTCCGCGTGGTCGATAGGGATAGACGAAACGGTGGAAATCTTTAGGGCAAAGATTTTCCAAAGCTTCGCGATAGTATCACGAATAACACGAGAGAATGTAGAGATGATGATGATGATGAAAAAAAAAAAAGAAGAAGAAAGGAAAAATGGATATGCTATCAGTCGAGAGAATGTACAAGGATATATATATATATATAGGATCGTTCCGTTCGACTAGAGAAACAGACAGATCTCGCGGGAAACGCGAGATAATTTCAATTCACGTCCCGCGAAACTCGTAGGAGAAGAAGAAAGATCATTTCCCGAGCTGCCTGGTGCGCGTGTCTTCTAACTAGAATTCTTCCGCGTTGCTGGTTCCTCAGCAATGATATGCATAGAAGAGTGAGGCCAGGAGCCAGAGCGCGCCGCCACCCCCGTAGAACCGGTTGCCCTCGACCCCGTTCCTACCGGGTCGTTTGCGTTTCGACTTCGATTTGGCGCGCCGTTTGCGCGAGAAAATGGCGTTGGTGGAGTTGGTCGGCGACTCGATGTTGCAGTAGCTCAGGTCGCAGCAACTTATGCAGATCTGGAACGAAATAACCGAATTTATTTCACCCGCACTCTTTTTCCTCTTTCCTCTCTCTTTTATCCCTTCCGTTCTTCTTTCTTTTCCCTCGTTCCCCTTTTTTTTTTTTCCTCAAAATTTTTTTCGATCGGTGCGCACAACGGTGGAAAAGAGAAAGAAGGCCAGGCCAGGTACTCGGAAAAAATTCGCTATTTCGCACCTGCTGCGTGTCCACCGGGATGCAACCGACGGAGGCGGGGCCGCATTCCGCGCTGCTCACACAGCTCTTGCTCACCTGCAAACGGAAACATCATTTTTTCTACGAATTCTACGAATTCCACGCGTTTTTCTACGAATCATTGTAAACGGGGGAACGGTTGATCGCTCGATCGCGCGATCGTTCGACCATGCGTTCGTTCTCGATCTTTCGCGAGGCTCTCTCTCTCTCTATTCTTCCTTTCTTTCCTTTTTTTCCCCTCCCGTTTCTCTAGCGATTGTTCGACCAGAGTATCGATTCCCGGTCGTTAGAATTCGCATCGCCACTCCGTTTCTTCCCCCCCCCCCCTCCTCCACTCTGTTTAATTTCTAGATGTTCGATTTCGCGTATACAGAATGTTCATCTCGGTGATTGATACCGGGTTCTTCCTTTCTTTCCCGAAACTTAAAAAAAAAAAAAAAAGAGAAAAAAGAAAATCCTCCATCGAGATTTCCATTTAAGCTTCTCGCACGAAACGAACGAGAATCCATCCCGGTCGGATGTTTGGAAAACGCTTTATACCACCAGTGTGTCATCTGCGAATCTTCCCACCGGCAACGTATCTAAGCATTAATTAACCGATCGAACGGGATACCGAGACCGCCTGCACGTGTAGAAGGGAACCGCGAACCGGGATAGGCTCCCCTAAGTGATCCCGATCTTCATAATTGAAAGAGCCGGTGGAAAGTGCTTAATCGGGATATCGGGCTCTTAAGAGAAGATACGCTTCTCTGCGAATCATTACTCTTCCGCTGTGAGTTCGCTTCCTCGAGTTTATCCATTAACAACATCCTGAGAGATCGGGGAATCGATAATACGCTTTAACGGAAGGAATTATCATCTTCGCTCGGTTTTACGTCTACACGTGTTTCGCGACAAGGCCACGCTCGAGTAAGCAACGAAAAAATCGTGGCGAGGTAAAGAAAAAGAGAAAGAAACGGTCGATTTCGATCTCGAAGCAAAAATTTTAAAGTTTCCTCAATTGGCGTCAATTATGCAAAGCCGAATCGTTCGTGGAATCGCGAGGGGGAGGAACGAGGGGATCGGAGTTTTCCGCCCTCCTCCTCAGCCGCGAGACGGCCAAAACTCTACTCCTACGACGTTTCTTGGCAGCTACTCCCTCCCAAGACCTGGTTAATCGCCTCGCTCGGGTCGAGTGTGTGGTCAGAGTGAGAAAAAAGAAAATTTGCTTGCCAACACGCTATTCCCTCGGCTGTCCAAAATGTGCAGCGATCTGCAAAAGTCCCGGCCGCCCGCCGGACACGGTGTATCTATCGCCCATTCGTTGCACATCTGCGAACAAAAGGGAGGAGGGGGGGGAAAGAAGAAAATAGGGCTCGAATCGAGTCGAATAATAATAATAGTTCGCCAGTGTGTACGCCGATCGATCGAAGGATTCGAGTCCAAAGTTCGAAGACAATTTCCACATTTTGATTTGTTAGGGAGAAAAAAGGGAAGAAAAAAGGAATTTCTCGTCGAGATTTGAAGAAGAAATAATACGGATGTCCGCGATAGAGACGAAACGAAATTGGGGGAGGGGGTTGTTCCTTCGATCGAACGTTCGCCGTGTAAAGTCGTCGTTACGCGCGTATAAAGTTTCGTGGTGCTGTATTCGGGGCTGTCGAATTGGAGGGGGAAGGGAAGAGGGAAAGAGGAAAGAAGATGAGAGAGAAAGAAGGAGGAGGGAGAAAGGATCGAGGGAATAAATTGTGGAAGCGAGAGGGGATATACCCTCCGTGGGGCATCTCTCGCGGTTCCCTGGCCATCGACCCGGTCTCGAATCAACGATTTTCGATACAGATTTCCGTCGGCGGAACCCCTATTTAGAGAGATGCTTAGGGTTGATCCTTGGCGGCGAAGCAAGCCTCCTCGCAAGCCTCCTCTTCTCCTTGTCTCGCGTCTCTCCTCCGTCGTTGCTCGATCCGATATCGGTAATTCCTTTGCGACACGGTCGGCTTAAAGAGTGGAGATTGGTTGCTCGGACAAGAGGGGAGGGGGGCTGGGAGGAGGCGGTTGGAAAATAAGTAAAAAAAAAAAAAGAAAAAAAGGATCGATAGCGGGAACGGATCTCGACGGACGGAGTTAAACGAAATTGCGGTTGGACCCGACGCGATACAGGCATTGCGAAACTCTTTAAGAGTGGGGGGAGTGCCGTTTAACGGGGGAGTCGTCGATACCTGGTTATCGCTGACGTTGACGCAAGTGTAGCACGTTAGACCTGCAACAACAGAGGGGGCGGTGGGGTGAGTAATAGCGTTGCACCAGAGACACCACAGGCCGGAGGAGGTTCGAGCGCGGGACAAAGGGCGGAGAGACGCAACAATTAAACGCGCTTAGGCGTTCCTTCGATATAATTCCTTGGAGCTTGGAAATACACTTAACCTCGTGGAAAATGGATTGTCCCCCGTCCAATGGAACTTGTAACTTGTCCCCATGGTGGATCGATCCGCGACAAAAGCGAGTCTCCCTGCTCACCGGGGAGGAGAGAAGGTGTACGTTTGCAATCGTATTGTTTCTCAAAGGGAGATCCTTTCCTTCTCTTCCTCTCCCAATTCCCCTCCCTTCCTCCCTCAATTTCGTAATTAATACTTTTCGCTACCGGTTTCGAGAGATCGAATCCATTTCACGAGACCCGGAATTTTCCTTTCCGGAATCGGAACAGAGCCGAGAGCAAAGGAAAGATTTTCCTCGTCCCCGTCACGCTAATGGAATACAAACTTTTTCATTGGAACTTTGATCGGAACTGGCGGGGAAGAGGGTAGCGGAGAGGCAAACGAGCGGGTAGCAGCCGAGAGAAGGAAGGAAGCGCAAAGAAGAAGGAAGCGGCGTGCTCTCTTTTTTCTTTTTTTCGAGCGACTCTCGAGCAAGGTAAACTCGCCGGATGCTCGGCGCATTTCGGAAACTGCGAAAGAGAGTTTGGTTTAAGTAAGGTTGGCAGGAAAGCGGTTGGCGATATTTCAGAACAATGCGTTACAAGCGAGGAACGTGGAGAGAAGGTGGAGGAGAGGGAGGGGGGAATGATTTGTGGGAAATTGGTAGAAGGTGGATGGAGGTAAAGTGGCCAGCGAGATCTGTTAAGCGGTAGAAAGGCAGGAAGGAGGATTAGCGGAGCTCGATTGCAGGATTCGAGAGGGTTGGATAAGCTCGAGTTAGCCGAGCAAATCATAGATCTGTTTGCCCCCGGTACTCTCTCTCTCTCTCTCTCTCTCTCTCTCTCCGCCCTTTCTCTCCGACTTTTCTTCCACTCGTCCCTCTCTCTCTCTCTCTCTCTCTCTCCTTCCTTTCTGGCCAACGTCGCTTTTCGACACCGAATACCCACGGTAGATGTCTTCCTCCTCCGCGGTTATTCCCTTCAGCCCGTCCTTCTGCTTCGACTCCTCCTTTCCGTTTCCGTTTCCGGAGAGGACGTTTCTGCCGCAAGTTTCCGCAGCCAGGAGCAGCCCGACCATCACCCACGTGATCATTCCTCACATCTCTGCAATGACAGAAATGGGACTGCGGATAATCTTACTGTACGTAATTGATCGGGACCAATCTCTTTCCGCGCGTGCCACGGAATCCGCCCGCCGAATCCGCACCGCTCTCCAATCTCTCCATTTTCAACCGACGAACGTAAATTCGTCGTCGATATGCGCGGACAGGGGAAGGGAAGAAAGAAAGAGGGGGGAAAAAAAGAAGCGGACACCGTGCATCAAAGGATTTTATCGTTGACCGTGTGTCCGATAAATTACTCTTATCGCGCTTCGATACACGACTTATCGCTGCTTTCCATCCCCGCGTGAAAACTTGGTGGTGGATGACGATTAAAAAAAAAAAAAATGGCCGTGTAATTATTAGATATGAGATCGGCACGGGACAAAAGAAAATGGAAAAAATAAGAGGAAACGAAAGGAAAACACGGGTAGAGAAATCTGTTTGCCTAAACTTGGATAAATCGACGTGAGACCGTGGAAAAATTGTTCCCTCCGGAACGCCACGTTGTTTTAACCGAGATATCGGAATTTCAATTTACCTCCCCGCCCTCCCCCTCCGGTTGATCGAAGGATTTATCGCCCTATACGAATGAGAATGGGTCAGGGGGGAGGAGATCGGAAAACGTCTTTTAGAAGGTGGGCGAGGACGGATAGATACGGCGGAATTCAAATCCGGATCAGGAATTACGGGAGGGATGGGTTTGGCCGAGAGAGAAAGGGACGAGTATAGTTTCAATCCTCGCGTACAACACGAAGACCGCAAGGATCGGCTAAGCTGCGCTCCACTCTTGTAGATCCTGCATTTACACATGTTCCGCTCTTCTTTGATCAACCCTTTTGAGTATCCGACTGTATCTTCGATCGTTTCTAACTTTCTATGCGTGGGAATTTCTCGCGTAAAAAAGAGAGAGAGAGAGACAGTTGGAAATTGGATTCTGGAATTTGCGAAAACGCGCATCTCAAAGCTTGCGAGGTAGAGAATCTCGAGGAAAGAGGAGAGAGTCCCCCTTCCTATTCTTTGATATCTGTTCGTTAAAATCGGTGGATACGATACGCTTCGAATTCACGAATTAAATCGAATAGCCGCGAGGTCCAAACGCAAAATGTTTGGCAAATGCTTCGTTATCGGGAACGTGTATCTCGTTTCTAATTATTGTGTGTGTGTATATGTGTGGCTGGTTTCGAAAAATTGGTCGAATTTTTTTGCTTGGAAATCGGGAAAATGGGAAATTGGGATCGAAGACAGGGAAGATTTCGAGCGAAACGAAATGATCCTATCGATCGAAATAGATTACGCTAGCATACCGTTAATAGAAACTAGGATAGGAGATTATCCCGCTTAAATCGAAGTACAGATCGATGATGAATGTGGCGGCGTTCGAAACAATCGCGTCGGCGGGGTCCCGGTTCTTTGATACGAAACGTCAATCGGCAGGTTGATAAGGCCGATCCTTTCAATACGCTTCTGTTAACAATTGTCAGCCGCGCAAACTTCTCCCCCGCTTGACCAAAGTGGCATTCGACGGGATTATATCGAGTATAGGATAGTTAGAATTTCCAGGTGGATACCCGTTGTAGATACACGTAACACCGAGTAACGCGATTATTTCGACCGTATCCCCCTCGCTACGTCGACCAAGAAATTCACGACCTGTCGAGTATCGGCGTCGGCCGTTTTATCGGTTGCCCCGATCTATCCAAACTTTAATCCAATCCTCTTCTCGGAGGCGGTCAGGGACGAGTCGTTTCCACGATTCCCAATCGCGAGTATCCCACTTACTTTTCCACTCTTCCTTCCTCGTATCGGGGGTCGTTCTCGTACGGGTCGACGATTTTTAACGGCGGGAGACCTTCGACCGGCGAAGAGACGCGCGTTTAATTGGAAAATGAAATGGACGCGCGGCGCGTGGATGGGGAGAAGCGAGTTTAACCGTGTCCGTGAGAGTGGATCGATCCCGTCCGTCGTTTAAATCCCGGCCTAGAACATGTCGTCCACGGAGAATCGGTTGCGGGTAAACAGATCCACTCGACCGTTGGACATGTCAATCGATGGATATCCCAGCTCCAACCCAGCCATGCGTATAGTTCTTCGGAGTGTAGATCAAGGTTCGATTCTACGGATCGGTTGACCTATCGCTGCCAGCTACTCTCCATCCTGCTTCCTCCCTCTCTCCCTTTCCGCGCCCGAGGGAGCGGACGAATCGAAAGGGAGATGAATTCGAATTCGCAATACGCCCGAGAAATTGTGAGCCACGGCTCGAGACTCATGGTAAACCTTAATCGAGATAATTAAACGCGAGGTTCCGGTCCGAAGTTCGTTAAAAGGCAAGTTGGCCACCAGAGAACGGGAACGTAAAACTTTTTACGACGTGATGTTTCGCCGATAAAAACATCCCCGATCTTACTTTCAATTATACGACTCTATCTCTTCTTTTACGATAGCACGGATCGCCGTGTGCTTTCTTTTTTGCTTTGTCAACGATAGAAATAAGTATAGAAATAAGTAGAAAAATCGCATCGCGTCTTCTCGTTTCGAACGTCTCTCGCGATCGTAAGCGTGGGTTTCCGTTACGAATGGGATAACGTTCGTTATATATAAATAAATTCGTCATGATCACGCGTGGATCACGGATTCAGATTCCCATCCTCCGCGTTTCGCCCTTCTCGCCTCCTCCGTGTGATTTATTCGGTGACGATGCGCGGGCGGAATTTTCGAGAGGCGACAATTTGAAAATGTCGAGCGGTGGAGGAGAATGAAAATGACTCGGTCGGGATAGTAGCAGGATGAAATTTCATTTCAGCGTAATCAATAGCGCTTACGGCGTGTTCCCCAAGAAGATCTTCGGCTTTTTTTTCTCCCCATCCGTAATAGAGGACGTCCTTTGTTCTTGCTGCCTCCCCCTTCCTTGCTTCGGATCGCGCGGATTAAAAGAACTTTTTATTTTCCTACTTAGAGAAGGGAACCCGGCCGGGGAATTAGGTTGCTCTTTCTCTCCTCCCGCCCGAGCAGTTCCATTCTAGAATTCCCATGAGCAAACACTGGCCGTGCCAGTTATTACCAACCTGAAGGTCATCGATCAAATCTCAATTTATAGGCTGTCACTCTTGTCAGAGCATGAAATTCAACTCGGATGGAATCGATGGATATCGTCGTGAGAACCGGAGTGAAATTTTCCCCAATTTCCCATCCGATTGGACGTAAATATTGAAATTTCCATTCGATTCTTTCCTTTCGTAAGGATCGTGGTGGACTACTTTTTTCTCATTCTCTCTTCTCTTCTCTCTTTCTTCTTAATAAATCGATTCGAACTCGATCACGAGCTCGATCCTTTCGTCCATCGTCGAATCGAAAACCTTCCTCGAATCAATCTTTTTATCCATCCCGTGTTTATCCATCTCCTCGTCGATGCACAGTGGTTACGGTCGGCGCGTAGTCAGCCGCGATATCCTCCACTTTCACCATCCGCGCATTTTCACATTTTACTCCTTTCTTTCTTTTTTTTTTTTCCCCTCCTCCCGTTCCGTTTGTTCGCATCCGATCGGAAGTGAACGAAATTTAACAATGGCAACGATACTTTTTCCACGCCAATCATACAGAGAGATAGATAGATAGAGAGAGAGAGAGAGAGAGGTGTATATACGTACTTTTTTTTTTTTTTTTTTGTATCCAGTAACCATTCAATAGAATGGAAAATCTTTGACAACGAGAAAACCATCGTCATAGAAAAATTGATTTCGTATTAGA